TCACACCTTGGCTGTATGTTGTTTAGCAGCCTTGGATGCTTAAGACAAGATAGATGAATCGGAAAGAGGTCTGAGTCATTTACTTAAGTTATGCAAGGCCCAACAGAAGCCTTCACTGATTTTTTGCAAAGACTGATTTTAGTTGTAAATAGAATAGTATCAGATACAGAAGTCAGGTGAACATTAATTGAATCTAAGGCAGGATTACCACCAACAGATGAATGGATTAGAAATACAGCTGATTTTAGATCTTACACTTATGATGCTGTTTTGATAGGAGAAGTAATTTCTAGAAATTTTAAGAAAAATCAAATGTCAGATGTTTTCATTGTGGTAAACAAGGTCGTTTGAAAGGGGATTGTAGGCAAGGCATTCCTAGAAGCTTTTCTTTTTCCTAGAAATAATCCAAACAGAATGCAGAAAGTGTGGCACAGGCCAGCACTGGACTATTGAATGCAGAGCAACAAGAGACAGGCAAGGTCACCCTTTACCAATGGAAAACATCTTAGCAGACCTCTGGCAGGCCCCAATATTAAATCTGGTTCAATAATTCCCTGTCAGCACTGGGGAAACTCTATTTATACACATCACCTTATTATCATTGACTCAAGTGATCTGACACAACATGATTTGTCTGAACACCTCAGGAGGCCTGGGGTCTGGTACCTCACCGTGCTCTTGGAGAATGGGGACTGAGTAAAGATAGATCAGGACACAGCAGTCTTCATGGAGAACTGTGAGACGTATACATGACTGGAACAGCAAGGCTATCTGCATTTGTTGTGTGTGGTCAGACACTCTCCTTCCTTAGCTGTGTGGTGCCCGAGCTGAACTTCACAGCGAGCACTAGAGCGAGAACTGAAGAGCGTACCTGAGAGACTGTTTAGTTCAGTCCTGCTGGTCTTCACCTCATTCAGGAGTTGATCTCTCTCTTGTCTGATGTCCTTCACTGCTCGGAGTCGTTCAGAGCCTGCGTTCACCAGCTTCACCTTTTCCAGTTCAAGGTCACTCACTCTGGCTTCAAGTTCCCGGATCTTTGCATCTTTTTTATCTTTTAAAATCTGTTTATGACATATACAGGGAAAGGAGTAAAAGAATAAGTACATGTACAGGAGAAAAAAAAAACAAAACAACAAAATCCCTAGCATCCTTTCAATTCTACCTACCTTTAATTTTTTCAGTACTTCTAAGGACACTTATATAGTTTTCTTGTGGTAAAATACCCATGAGAAGCACTGTGTGGCATATGGGGGTGGTACTTTGGCTCCTAGCTTCCAGGACACATCATGACAGGAAGGCATGGTAGCTGGAACACCTCAGCTCACAGTGGCAGAAACATGCAGTGTGGCTCCCTCACATCATAGCAGACGACAGAGCAGAGAGCTAAGGCCGGAACCTTCAAGACCCACCTCCAGCCACCAATTCTGCTACCTCCAGCCACCCAAAACATCACTACCAACTGGGGCACAAGCACTCCAACCATAAGCCTGCGGAAGACTTTCCAAACTCAAACCCTAATAGTTGGCAAAAGGAAAAAGCAGAAGAACAAAGCAGTAAAGACCTTCAAATACACGAGCCTGTGGGGACATTTTACATTGACTCAGAGTATAACAACACTAAATCTGGACTTTAACATAAAACCCCAATGTAAGTGGTAGAGAGAGAGAAGAAAGGAATGCGTCACCATTCTTTTAGACTCAGATGCTCATTCCCAGGGTCACTTGCCATGACCTGCAATTATTCTCTATTCATTCATGCTACAGTGGGTACTTTTTCATATACTGTGGACACATAAGAGAGCCTGGATGTGAGGTCCCTATCTTAGACTTCTATTGCCTTACTCAAGTTTCAAGCCTGGATACCACCCACGTAATAGCTTTGTCCTCAAGTCCTCCTTAAGGAAGAGAGAGACAGGGACACATCAAGAAAAAGACTAACAACGGAAAGGGAAGAGATGTGAGGAAGGGGGATGGACATGAAGGAGGGGAGGATGTGAGGGAGGGGAGGATGTGAGGGAGGGGAGGATGTGAGGGGGGGGTGGACGGAAGGGGGGGGTGTATGTGAAGGGGGGATGGATGTGAGGGAGGGGAAGATGTGAGGGAAGGGTGGATGTGAGGGAGGGGAGGATGTGAGGGAAGGGTGGATGTGAGGGAGGGGAGGATGTGAGGGAGGCGCTGCTACTTGAGGTGAGTTGGTGTATAGAGAAGTATTTACATAGCAGGCCTGTTCCTGTCTGTCAGTTCTGTTCACAGTCTGGTCCTTGGCTGGGATTTAGGAATTCAGGAAAGCTTTGGTGGTTTGGGAGAAAATAGCCCCCAAAGGAGTAGGCACTTTTAGGAGGTGTGGCTTTGTTGGAGGAAGTGTTTTACTGTGGAGGCAGGCTTTGAGTTCTCCTTTGCTCAAGTTACTCTCAGTGTGGTACACACTTTACTTCCTGTTGCCTGCGGATCAAGATGTAGAACTCTTAGTTCCTTCTCCAGCACCATGTCTCCTTGTGCACCATCATGCTTGCTGCCATGATGATAATGGACTAAGCCTCTGAAACTGTAAGCCACCACCTCAATTAAATGTTTTATTTTATAAGAGTTGCTTGATTATGGTGTCTCTGTACAGCAATAGAAACCCTAAGACAGAAGTTGATACCAGGGACTGGGGTATTGCTGTGATAAGAAGACCATGCTTTTGTTTGAAGGAATATGGACCTTGGTACAGTGGAACAGAAAATCATTTGGACGCTTTAAATGCTGCTTAATGGGCCATCCTAGTAGGAACATGGAAGACAGTTATGCCGAGGGTGATTTGAGCTGTGGGGGCCTGTATCAAGAGGTTTCAGAGGAGAAGAATTTTGGTATGTTGTCTAGAAATCATTCTTGTGATATTTGGGTGAAGAATGTGGCTACTTTTTGCCCTTGTCCAAAGAGTCTGCTTGAGGCTAAAGTGAAGAGATTTGGATTAATTCTGTTGTCAGAGAAAATCTCAAAACAGTCTAGTATTGACTCTGTTATTAGAGTTAACTTTAATGAAAAGGAGTGAGCTGAGCAAGGAAAAATACAAAATGTACACTCTGAGGAAAAAAAGCTCCAGGAGGTAGAATGGAGTTAAGTCCTGTGTTCAAGGAGATAAACACATTAGGAAATGGAATAAAGGGAGTGGTGACCTCAGGGTAAGACCCCACCCACCTAAGCTTCCAATTTGTGAAAAGGAACTAAAGAAAAGTGAAGGAAACCATCAAAAACATGTTGTAATAGGAGCGGCGGGGCTGCGTCCCCAGCACCCCAGCTGCTTGCTAGTTTATGCCCCAAAATAACAACACGGAAACTGGATTCTTTTAAACACTGCTTGGCCCATTAGCTCTAGCCCTTACTGGCTAGTTCTGATATCCCGATCAAACCATCTCTAATAAACTGTATAGCACCGGTCTTACCGGGAGAGGGGAGCATGGCCTCTCTCCAGAGAGCAGAGAGCAGAGTCTGAGCTCACTTCCTCTTCCTCCCAGCATTCTGTTCTGTTTACTCCACCCACCTATGTTCTTTTTTTTATTTACTTAAAATTTTAATTGTACATATTTATCAATTATAACATAATATGTTGATCATTGTATATATTACGAAAATATTCAATTACAGTAATTAAAATATCTATTACCTCACCAATTCGTCGACTGTGTGATGAGAGTGTTAAAATTTCAAGTTAGCCATTGTGACACATATACTACATAACATTTGGTGCCTGCCACTATAGCGTCATTACTGTTCATTCCTCCAGGCTAACTGAACCTTCTGTTTTTCTCCTCTGCTGTCCTCTTTATCATGCACCCACCTATGTTCTAACCAATAAAATGGGCCAAGGCAGTTTCTTTATTAGCCAATGACCTTCCTCCATCAAAAACAGAAAGTTGGTGAAGATGTAATTGAATGAGGGGGCCATGTTCCAGTCCCAGAAAGCAACAGAACTTGGCAAGCTTTGGCCATGTTGTTTTGACTTTAGAATCAAGGATAGAATCTTCCTCCATGACTAAGGAAAGCCACTGAAGTCAGGCATGTACCAGGGGTGTCCCTGAATGGAGACCCAGAGAGATCAAGATCATTATGTGAAGTTGAAGCCTGGATTGCCTTAGAGAGCCCAAGAGGTTGGAGATGCCAGGGTTATGGAATGTCTGCCAAGGAAAGCTGCTAACAAGGAGTGTAACCAGCCCAAGAAAAAGAAGTGTATTGCAGTCAACAAAGCTGAAAGGAGTTGGAGATGTGAAGAATATGTAGAGATGCAGTTTGGAGTTTGCCCATCTGGTTTTCAGTCTTGTTAATCCAGGATTTCCTTACTGTGCTCCCTTCTCTATGTTTTGGAATGGCAGTGTATATCCTGTCCATTAAACGTTGGAAGAGCTAATACCAACACTCCTCAAAGTATTCCACACAATAGAAGCAGAAGGAACATTGCCAAACTCATTTTATGTTACCCTGATACCCAAACCACACAAAGGTGTAACAAAGAGAACTACAGACCAATCTCTCTCATGAACATTGATGTAAAAATACTCAATAAAATACTGGCAAACCGAATCCAAGAACACATCATATACCATAACCAAGTAGGCTTCATCCCAGAGATGCAGAAAAGGGTCAACATACAGAAATCTGTCAATGTAATCTACCATATAAATAAACTGAAAGAAAAAAACCCACATGATCATCTTATTAGATGCTAAAAAAAAAGCCGCCTTCAATTTTCATGATAAAGGTCTTGGAGAGGTTAGTGATACAAGGAATATATCTAAACACAACAAAAGCAACTTACAGCAAGCCTAGATCCAACATCAAATTAAATGGAGAGAAACTCAAAGCCATTCCATTAAAATCAGGAACAAGACAAGACTGACCACTCTCTCCATAGCTATTCAACATTGTGCTTGAAGTTCTAGCTAGAGCACAACAAAAGCATATCAAGGGAATACAAACTGGAAAGAAAGAATTCAAACTATCTTTTTTTTTTTTTTTTTGCAGATGATATGATAGTATACATAAGTGACTCCAAAACTCTACCTGGGAGCTTCTACAACTGATAAACCCATTCAGTAATGTGGCAGGATTAACTAAAAAAAAAATCCTTAGGCCTCCTATATACAACAATAAATGGGCCGAGAAAGAAATCAGAGAAACATCACTCTTTACAATAGCCACAGATATGAAATATCTTTGGGTAACTCAAACCAAACAAATGAAAGACCTGTATGGCAAGAATTTTAAGTTTCTAAAGAAAGAAATTGAAGAAGACATCAGAAAATGGAAAGATCTCCCATGCTCTTGGATAGGTAGAAGCAACATAATAAAAAGAGAAATCTTACCAAAAGCAATCTACAGATTTAGTGCAATCCCCATCAAACTCCCAACACAATTCTTCATAGACCTTGAAAGCACATTACTCAGCTTCACATGGAAAAACAAAAACCCAGAATAAACAATCCTGTACAATAAAGGAACTTCCAGAGGCTTCACCATCCTTGACCTTAAGCACTACTATAGAGCTACAGTAATAAAAATAACTTGGTATTGGCATAAAAACAGACACACAGATCAATGGAATCAAATTGAAGACCATGCCATTAATTCGTGCACATGTGGCCACCTGATTTTTGACAAAGAAACCAAAAAGGTATAATGGGAAGAAAAACATCTTTAACATGGTGCTGACATAACTGGATATCAATATGTAGAAGATTGCAAATAGACCCATACCTATCCCCATGCACAAAACTCAAGTCCGAATGGATCAAAGACCTCAACATAAAACCAGCTATATTGAACCTGATAGAAAAGAAAGTGGGTAGCCTTGAATGCACTGGCACAGGAGACCATTCCCCAGTAGCACACACACTGAGAGCAACATTCAATAAATGGGACCTCCTGAAACTGAGAAGTTTCTGTAAGGCAAGGAGATGGTAAACAAGACAAAATGGCAGCCTACAGAATGGAAAAAGATCTTCACCAACCCCACATCCCACAGAGGGCTGATCTCCAAAAGATACAAAGAATTCAAGAAACTACAACAAAATATCAAATAATCTTATTTTAAAATGGGGTGGAGAGCTAAACAGAAAAGTCTCAATAGAAGAAATTCAATTGTCCAAAAGACATTTAAGGAATTGCTCAACATCCTTAATCATCAGGGAAATCCAAATCAAAACAACTCTGAGATACCATCTTACACCTCTCAGAAAGGCTAAGAGAAAAATACTGAGGATAGCTTATGCTGGAGAGGATATGGAGTAAGGGGAACACTCCTGCACTGCTGGTGGGAGTGCAATCTTGTACAGCCATCCTGGAAATCAGTATGGCAGTGTCTCAGAAAATTGAGAACCAATCTACCTCAAGACCCAGTGGTATGACTCTTAGGCATATAACAAAAAGATACTCGATCATACCACAAGGACACTTGCTCAACAATATTCATGGCAGCATTATCCATAATAGCCAGAACCTTGAAACAACCTAGATGCTGTCATCTGAAGAATAGAGAGAGAAAATGTGCTACATTTACACAATGTGGTATTACTCAGCTGTAAAAAAAAAAAAAAAAAAAAAAGGTATCTTGAAATTTGCAGGCAAATGAGTGGAACTAGGAAAACGCATCCTGAGTGAGGTAACCCAGACTCAGAAAGACAAACACGGTATGTACTCACTCATAGGTGGACAGAAGATATGAAGCAAAGCAAAGGATAATCAGACTGCAATCCACAGCTTCACAGAACTGGGCATGCAGAGCAGGGGAGAGGGTGGAAAGGGAGAAGGGAGAAAGGAAGGGAAGTGGGAAAAATATATATATAGCTCAATTAAAACAATAAAAGAAAGATTTAAAAAAAAGCCTGGTATTGAGTCCTCAATAAACTTCTCTGTGGGAAGCATTTGAGTTCTCACAAGTTCCTGCTGGGGGAATCGAGGATGTACTGGGCTAGGAAGTGACTCCTGGAAGCTGGTTTTCTCTGGGCTTCCCCCCATTGCCTTTTTCCTTTGCCAACTGTTTGAATCTGGGGCTCCCTCTTGTGTGTGAATACTTGTTGACCAGCTAGCAGTGCTTTTCTGAGGGTCTCTGAAGCCTCTAGGAGAAGGAGCCTACTTGATGGAAATAGATCACTAGGGAAGCCTTTGAAGGCCACACCTAGTCTACTCTGCTTGCTGGTCTACATAGTAAGTTCCAGACCAGCCATGGTTACATAGTGAGACTCTCTCAGAAAAGAAAAGAAAGAAAAGAAAAGAGAAGAAAAAAGAAAAGAAAAGAAAGAAGGAAGGGAAGGGGCAAGGGGAAGGGGAAAGAGAATAAAAGAAAAGAAAAAAAATATTTAGTGTTATGTAATTCATGCTTGGAATTCCAGCATTTGGCAGAATACTCATTGCAAGTCTGAGGGCAGCTTGAGCCTCCATGAGTTCCATGGAAACTGCCCCCCCCCTCAAAAAAAACCCAAACCCACAAACAAAAAACAAGCCATAGAGACATGGGGCAAACACTGCACAGATGAATAAGGCACACGTTTGCCCATGCAGTGAGGAGACTCATTATTTCAATCCTCCCGGTGCAGCACAGAAATGCCAGGCACACAGCTGAGCGGTACAACACAACGGGCAAAGAAGCTGACATTTACATAGGCCAGGCTAGTTGATGTATATTTTCTTAGCCAAGCCTCACAATATTCCAGTAAAGTTGTATTTTTCTGTTTGCTTGTGTTTTTTTCATAGACACACACCAAGTGTCAGTAAACAGTTCAATGTTATATAGCAATTATGAGGTGATAAGGTCAAACTTTGCTCTGTGAAAAATACCTCAAACTGTGAGCTCAGGGAACATTTCAGAGAGGCGTCCTTGCTAGTTTCCTTTTGTACCCATGGTCCTCAACCATTTTGGAGCCACACTTTCCTTTTAGAGAGTGAAAGTAGAAATTTTTTAAAAACTTACATACAGCAACTCAGATACTTTCTATCCTAGGGGCCCCACAAACATCGAGTAATTTCAGTTATTCTCAATATATTATTAGGTTATTGCTACTTTGAAAATAGAAAATTCGGCAGCTAGGCTACCCAAACCCCCGCTCAGACCTTAAACTCCTGCAGTTCCAACTTCCGGTCATTGATCTCTTTCTCCAGCTGGGCCTTTTCCACCTGCATCGCACCAGCGGTCCGCCCGTGCTGGCCAACCAGCTGCGTCATGTTCTCAATCTGCTGCCGCAAGATCTCGATGACCTTGTCCTTTTCCGCCATCTGGAGCTTAAGCGCCTCACACTCGGTCTGCACATTTCTCAGGTGGTCCCCCTCATTCTTTAGGTGTTGAAGCTCCTGTAACTTCAAGTCCACCCGAGAGCGGAGCTTGGTGATCTCTGCATTGGTGGCCTCGATGGCTCGTTCCTTCTCCTGGAGGGAAGCTGTCAGGTCGGACACCGTCCTCTCAGAGCTCTCCAGGGTCATCTTCTTGGCCGTCAACTCTTCCACCACCTTGCGCAGCATCTCCTTGGTGGACTCGAGCTGTGCAGTGAGGGAGGACACTTTCTCCAGGCTCTCGTTCTTCCCCTGAATGGCTGCCATCTGCGGGAAAGCAGTTTCATGATGGGGGGGGGGGGTAAGTTAACTCAGTGTGAAACCCTGCCCTGGATAGTCCAGAAAGCCTAACTTAAACCATTTAATGTCAGAACATTAGGCACAAAGGACAGTTTTCGTCATGGACGAGGCCACCTGGCAATGACACAGCCTGCACGCTCACCTGCCGCTCCATCTGGCCCTGACACTCGCTCTTCATGGCCTTGAGCAGGGCCTCCAGCCGCTGCACCTCCATGTTCCTGTCGTCCAGCTCCCGCCGCAGGTGGTCGATGGTGATGCTGTTGCCGGTGTCTCGGTCCCACAGGCGCTTGTTCTGCTCCTTCTCCAGACTCAGCTCCTTCTCCCTCTTGTGTAGGTCTGCCTAAAAGAAGCGAGGAGCGCTCTTTCTCCCACCCACTGTCACAGCCAAAACAAATTCTTCCATTTGCCTTACACGGCCTCGGAGTTATGTGATTTGAGACGTCTTTGGTTACAGAAAAGAACTGCTTTTCAACAGCTGACTAAAATTGATTATTTCCTAGAAAAATATACTGATATTTTGCTTAAACATTTTAGCTGGCTTAGGAGTGACATCTCACACCTGTAATGTCTGCACGCAGGAGGTGCAGATTTTGTGTTCTGAATGTCATTTTGGTTCAAAATGAACACACCACAACCTGAATTTAGTAGACGGCAGTTCTAACTGAAAGAGTGTGGCTACTTGACGACCTACTTTATCTAACATGTAACAGCCACGCCTAAAGAAAATGACACAGGTAGGTATCTTATATAAAACATTTAAAGTACATAGAATGATATCCCATGTGTGTGCACAATATTTTGTAAAAATCTGTAATTTTAAATGTAAATTGGTTTGTGAAATGTATTGAAAATGTTTCCAGACCCCAAATCTCAGATTATAGAGCATGATCTCACCAACAGCTTTTGGAGTTGGTCATCCAGATTTCCTGACTCCTGACTGAACTGGTCCCGCTCTGTGCGCGCCTCGGTGAGCTCTGAATTGGCAAGGACTAACTGCTTCTCCAGCTCTTCTATCTGGAAGAAAAGCCCCAAATCAGACAAACGCAGCCCAGGTCAGTCAGCGGCATCTGAAAACAAGCCTATGCTAGCAGATGGTGCTATGTGAGGCGAAGCTCATAGGTCTGAGACGCTTGCACTTTCCTAACCTTAACATCTCCATAGGATTAGTCAAAGAGGAGCACTCTGGGTACAGCACACTGTGCTTCTGCTTTTCCTCCTCAGAAGGTATCTTCTGGGGAGATGCGCTCTGTAATTCAAAGAGTCTCTGGTGGCATAAATAATGTATTGTAGACCCCAAACAAATGAACTTTGCAATACTGAGAAGAGCTGTCTTGCTTTAGAATATCGGTCTCAGCTGGGCATAGTGGAGCAGCACCTTTAATTCCAGCACTGGGAGACAGAGGCAAGTGGATCTGTGAGCTGAGGCCAGTCAGCCTGGTCTACGTAGGAGGTTCTAGGACAGCCAAGGCTACACAATGAGACCATGTCTTGAAAAAACACCAAACATACATACATACATACATACATACATACATACATACATACATACATACATAAATTAAAAAAAACATCAGAGTCTCGAGAAGATACTGAATACAAAAGAATGGGTTCTGACAGTGCACCTGTGCCATTATGGTGGCAGATTCAATAGAATGAGTGAATAGCAATGTTTAACATTAGGGAAATATAATTCAAAACTTTATTCTCTTCAACTATAAAAAGGAACGAGAATCAATTTTAAAGAATATATTTTTTCCTTGATCAGGACTGCTAACTTGTCTGAATAGAGATATTCAGCTCACTGCACCAATAACAGCACACGGAAAAACACCCTTTCCTTGCACAAGCTCAGCATGCAGCAGGCCCGCAGGAGGAGCCGGGCTGCTCCAGTACTGAAATGTTCCTGTGCCCTCAACATGGGCTGAGTGCGGACCCCAGACCATGGAGACTTCGGACTTTGATCTGAGCTGAGCCACACAATATCAAGACTCAGTTAATAAACTATTTCATAAGAACATGTTTTTTTTGATTTTCGAGACAGGGTTTCTCCGTAGCTTTTTTGGTTCCTGTTCTGGAACTAGCTCTTGTAGACCAGGCTGGCCTCGAACCCACAGAGATCCGCCTGCCTCTGCCTCCCGAGTGCTGGGATTAAAGGTGTGCGCCACCACCACCCGGCCATAAGAACATGTTAATACTTAGTGTTACGCACTGAAACCCCACCTATAACTATGGCATTTTATTATCCACCTCTAGGATTCAAAAGATTTCATACTGGCAGAAATGCAGCACATTCCTTCCTTTTTCTAAGGCACAATCAATAGGCTTGAAAAGTGTGGTCAAGATTAAAACTTAGTTTAGATGTGATCAAACCTTCTTAACTGAAAACATATGACCAAGACAAACGTTTTCTTAATAACTTTTTATTTTTACTTGCAACATTCATTTAAAACTCTTCATTTATTAAACCAATATATAATCAATAATCACATTATATATATATACACATATACACATATTTAACCATCTTCTTGACAAATAATAAGCATAAATGTGTAGGGCTTCTGTATCTATTCACATGTACACATCAATGACTTAAGAAAGTACTAATACAGAAATATCATACAGTTATGCACTCATCTATAATATAGTATCAGTGCCTACAGGGCTGAGGACATAAATTTAGATATTTACATTGGATATATGTTTAAGTTGGCTTTATGTAATTATGTTATATATTAAAAATTATTTCATAAGAATTAAGTATATAAAGTTTTAGACTCTGACTAATTATATTTGATAATGTTACAAGGCATTCTCACAAGAATTAAGTACACATGAAATACTAGATTATAGATTATATTTGATTGTAAATTGCACATTAAAAACTATTTCACAGGAATCAATGGATTACCCAACAGCACTACACCGCCATCCCAGGCTTAAGAAGTACTTTTGGACTGGAGATATAGCTCA